TCTTGATCAGATGGGCCAATGGACCAAGGAGTGGCAAATTAAGTTTAATTTAGATAAATGTGAGGTGCTGCAATTTGGAAAGGCAAATCAGGGCAAGACTTATACACTTAATGATAAGGTCCTGGGGAGTGTAACTGAACCAAGAGACTTTGGAGTACAGATTCATAGTTCCTTGAAAGTGGAGTTGCACGTAGATAGGATAGTGAAGAAGGCATTTGGTATGCTGGCCTTTATTGGTCAGTGCATTGAGTATATGAGTTGGGAGGTCACGTTGTGATTGCACAGGACAGTGGTTAGGCCACTACAGGAATTCTGCATGCAATTTTCGTCTCCCTCCCATAGGAAGGATGGTGTGAAACTAGAAACAGTTCAGAAAAGATTTACGAGGATGTTGCCAGGGCTGGAGGGTATGAGCTACAGGGAGAGGCTGAATGGGCTGGGGCTATTTTCCCTGGAGCGTCAGAGGCTGAGGTGAACTTACAGAGGTTTATAAAATCATGAGGGGCTTGGATAGGGTAAATAGACAAGGTCTTTTCCCCAGGGTGGAGAGTCCAAAACTAAAGGGCATAGGTTTAAGGTGAGAGGGGAAAGATTTAAAAGAGATGTAAGGGGTAAGTTTTTTATGAAGAGTGTGGTGCGTGCATGGAATGAGCTGCCAGAGGAAGTGGTGGAGGCTGTTACAATTACAACATTTAAAAGGTATCTGGATGGGTACATGAATAGGAAGGGTTGAGAGGGATATGGGCCAAATGCTGGCAAATGGGACTAGATTTATTTAGGTTGTAGGCATGTTCGCCAAGCCGGTGGGTTTGGTTGCGAAAGTTTCGTCACCCTGCTAGGTAACAGCATCAGTGTGCCTCTGGAGAAGTGTCAGTGTTCTGTCCCACTTGTTATTTATATGCCTCGGTTTGCTGGGGTGGTTGGTATTACTTCTGGTTTTGTTTCTCAGGGGTTTGTACACAGGGTCTAATTCAATGTGTTTGTTGATGGAGCTCCGGTTGGAATACCAGGCAAAACCAGCAAAACTGGGGTAATACACAAAATACTATGCAAGGGCTGTGAGAAACACTAAATAGGCCAAACCGGAAGAAAATTGACTGTACGGATTAATGAACACCAACTAGCCACCAAGAGACACGACCAATTCTCACTTATCTCACTACACATGGGCAACGAGGGACACAAATTCAACTGGGACAACACACAACACATCGATAATTGCACAAGCCAAACAGAGACACGCCAAGGTGCACTGACGATGTTACCTAGCAGGGTGATTAAACATTTGCAACCAAACCCACCGGCTCAGCGAGCATGTCTACAACCTTTTACTCAACGCAAGCTGCAAATCTTTTCAAACTTTAGATTTATTTAGGATATCTAGTCGGCATGGACGAGTTAAACCGAAGGGTATGTTTCTGTGCTATATGTCTCTATGACTCCATGACTCTATATCAAGATAATTTTAAGAAAATTCTTTGGGAAGTTTATTTAGTGATATACATAATTCCCCTGCTTCTCCATTCACTTAAGAGCTGTTTTGCATGGAATATGCTATCATTAAAGTAGTCCCTTAACTAATTCCTACCTCATTGCTTATCACTTATGACCAGTAAGGCTAGGTTACTAATGAACTGATGTTGCATTTGGGCAATAAAACTTCCACAATAACAAACTGCTTTTATACATGGCAGTATAGATATGTTTCTAATGAACTGCTCCAGTGCTTTGATGCTTATATCGAAACTAAGAATTTTGCAACTTCTAGCCCAAACATCATTTATCATTTATATGGTACTTTCCGTAATTAATACCGATCAAAAGTTCAATTGTTTTGAAAATAAAAAGGTACAACATAAATGTCAAAAATGTTTCATCCTTTCCTTAATGTACTGATTTTTTTTTGTATTTAAGTTTTTGCTGATCAGACTAAAGGATGCTGGTGCTGAGACATTGCGCAGACCCAGGTCAAGTGTAGAACAATTAGTTGCAGACCAATGTTTGCCCAGACACTAATTAAACACAGCAACCTTTGCTGCATGAAGGTGATATTTTCTATTCACAACATTTATCATTCTATCAATTTGACTGATATTGTCGATTAATGCTGAATTAAGAGTAATATTGGGCTGTGTCCAACTGTGCTAGGCAGGGGTTTGGGGTCTGAATTGAGGCATTAAATAATTAAAAGTGGCAGTGTGGAAATAATTGCAGCAATAGATAACCAAAAAAATTTTACCCAGAAAAAACAAGGTAATTTTTTGAATTATTCCCTATGAGGAGCACCTTAGATGCTTTAAATACATGAGGAAAGAACCGTCAGGAGCTGTAAATATGTGCTTATAAAGTAATGACCTCATTATCCTTGACTGGTAATTGACTTCAGCAAAAATAGAATAAATGACCTGATTTTAACAGAGGACTAAATGAGAGAGATGGCTTTAAATAAGCAAGCAAACATTCTTTTTTTAATGCACATTTTGGAAAGAAAAATATCTGAGGCAAACCATGTTGCTGCTTAAAATAATTGCAAGGGATCACAGCAATATACTGAAATTAAGACAAAAAGTGCTGTAGAAAGTCAGCTGGTCTGGTAGCATCTGTGGAGAAAGAAACAGAATTAATGTTTTGAATCCAATGTCTTTTCTTTGGAATGGGATTTACTGCAGTGTACTGAGCTCTTTTGTTGTCAGGACTCTCATTTTGTTCTTAATTTTCATGAAGCAATGCACTGGAGTGAAGTTCCCCAAATAGAGTATGATATTATTAAACTGCTTCGTGCTCCAAACAGTAACATAACCAACAAGACAAGCAAGACAGAATAAAGAACTACATACTTTTCTCTAAATTTCGCCATGTGGGTGACACTGTAAAGATTGGCAGTATTTATAGTCCATCCCTACCTCCATTGTAAAAGTAGTGATGAGCATTCTAGATGAAGGGCTGTAATTCTGTTGGTTTTATTTACAATAGTGTTTGGTAGGAAATTTTCAGTCAACACACACATCTGTGGCACAGAATGCTAAGCTGTCTGTCCTAAAGTACTTCAAATTCATGGCTGTATATGTGTATAGCATGCTTTTTTTTTAAATGGATGGATGCCAACATTTTCATGTAGACTTTAAAATTGGGTTATGTGGTACCAAACTAAGCAGGTGTCGATATTCTGCTGCATCTTATACAGCCCCTTTTCAGACTAAGAAAACTTTCTACTAATTAGTCTGAGTCCAGAAGCTGGACTTTACAGTCCTAGGCTGGGTGTGTTTTTGGTGATGTGGGCTTGTAAAATATAATGGATATCTAATGTCCTCACCCACATCCACCCAGCACATAATATCGTAGGCAGGCAGGTACTCAAATTGGCAGACTGCATGCCACTTTTTAAAACATGGGCAATCAAGTTTGCTGACAAGCCAGTTGACATAATAACAGGTTGTCCATGCCAAAAGCGGTAGGTATGTGCAGATAGGTAAGATTCAGAGTGCTGTTATTTAAAAGATTTTTTGAGGAGGGGTGGTGCACTTTTAGGGGTGACCCAAGCACAATTGGTATGATTCCTTTGTTCCTCCTCAACAAGCCATCAAAACCCTTCCCTAACCCAATGCCCCTACTTCCTAGGCTTCCCGATCCTTTCCTAGCCTAAAAGGCCAGGGCCTACATTGGCCTTGGTCCTATGCAATCCATTGCTCTTCTCCGTGGGCCCCCTTAAAGCCACCGCAACATCTACGGCTGAGTTCTGGCACTGCTTGAGCTGTTGATCACCCTGATTGGCTGGCAACTCTTGAGGGTAGGACTTCATCCTGCTGAAGGGCCAAATTCTGAACATCAGCAGTTTAAGGTCCACCTTAAGGTTCCCCTGCAGCATGTTATTGATATGGAGCAGCCTAGATCAGCACTGGTCAGTGCGGCAAAGACTTTCTTTATGGGAGGGGTTGAGATGTGTATTTCTGCCCCCCGTAAGTTTCAACTCAAGGTCCAGAAGCGGAAGGTCAAATTCTAACTCACAGAGGCATTGATCATTTCCCCACTCTTTAAATTGGCTAAAACCAACTGGAACTTACAATAGCTTTCAGCATTTAATTTTATCAAGTTAAAGAAGTATGCAAAATTCTCCAAAATGCTGCCATTCTGCTTATTATCTGCAAATTTCATTTACAAGAATACCTAGGCCTACACTTGAACTTTTTCAAGGTAATAGTACCAATTGAAGGTAATTTGAACAGAAAGAATTGGTTCTACACTGAACCATTTGTTCTGTATTCATTCAGTCTATTAATGACTCCTTCAATGCTGTGACTGACCTAAACCTCCCCCTCTCACCATCTCTCCCCTTTCCCACATATCATCTTCTACATAAAGCCAGAGATTAATAGTATGTCACCAGCGACTAATCATATTTTAGATATACACAAATCCTTCACACAAGTAGTGTACCATACTTCTAGCTTCTATTTAATCCTGTTTGCACAAACATTATAAATCACAAATCATTTGGTTTTCAGAAACTCATCACTGTCTTTTATGATGTCTGTCTTAATTTATTATTCCAGGTGTTACATTGTTAATCGTTTGCACTAATTCCTTTTGGAACAAAAGGCTGAGAGATATGTGAAATTGAATGTGATTTAGTACTCTTGAAAACTCTTGAAAAAATAAGTTCTGTCCATAAGAGAAACTGTAAATCTTCCTACTAGTACCGCTTACACTGCCAGTCTTTAAATATTAAGCAAGGTTAATCACTTTCTCTAATTAAATACATACAAAATAAGATTTAGAAGAAATGATGTAGTACTTTATCAGCATAAAATCTTTTTAAATATAATTTTGTAATAATCAGTGACAATCAGAGCTTCTGCATTATTACATTTTACATTCCATGAAAACACACTTTAATAACACAAGACAAATTTACACCTAACATTGACTAAAAACCCAATTATTTGAGAAACAAAAGCACTATTAAAAATCAGCAGTTTTAAAAATTTTACAATATTTACTACCTGTGTCCATTCATTGGTCTGTGGATCATACGATTCCATCGTGTTTAAATAGGTTTGTCCATCATATCCACCAACTGCGTACAGTTTGTCTCCTAGGAGACAGACTCCAACAGCATCTCGGGGAACACTCACCGAAGCTATTGTTGTCCAGGTATCAGTCTTTGGATCATATCTGATATGTGAAAATGAAGGAACAAAATGTAAGGAAAAATGTTCCAGAACTGTGTATCATTGTTGATTGAATTAACAACGCAAGCTAGTCATAAATAATACAAGTCATTTTTTCCTATGGCCTATTGTTTAAATGTTTGCAGTAGGAAAGGATCTTTGCCTGTATGGTCTTGTTCAGTTTTTTTAATGTTGTTATAACCAAAGCTGGAGGAGTGTACTGACACTCTAGTCCCGTCAGTCCATGAGTCACAACATAAAAAGAAATACTTCTCCCATGTATGGCAAATTAAGTAACTTATTGACATCAGGTTTTCAATAAAATCTATCAACCAGGTTTGTTCAATAAACACAAAATTGAGTATTGTTGAAAATTATGCATTTTGCCAAAGCTTTCTGTCTTGCACTCATCAGGACAATTTATAAGAAGACGAATTTCGGGGGAAATCCAACCTATAAACCTATAAAAAAAAATGAAAGGAGAGTGCTGATTTGATGACAAGTGGACTCTGATTAGTAGAAGGCTTTACTTTGGAATTGGTTGCAAATTGTCCTGATGAGTACAAGCAATAGTTTCAGCAATAGTTAAATATCTCATTATTTCCAATTTAGCTTTAGTGGCAGGGGACTTAACTGATTCTTGTAATTTTGCTGTTTCAACATCACTTGCCCCTGCTTTGCTAAGTAACTGAGGTAAACTCCTGGATGTTTACACCACAGAAGGAGGCCATTCAGCTCATGGTGTCTATGGCATTCAACAGAGATCTGACCACACTAATCCCATTTTGCAGCTTCTGGTCCATGGTCTCTCAATGACACTGAGAGCTTCAAAAGAGTTACCCATTCTATGAAAATGCAACTTGAACGATAACTGAAGACAAATTTGTGTCGAACAATGGCTCATACTTTGAGAAACCAGAGGACTATCAGAGATCAGCGATTAGTCCATTGCCCTGAACTGAATTACACACATTGGTTAAAATCTTATGAGAGTTTTTGACTCAAATACCTTTTCTGCCACAATCTGAAAAAAAAATTCTCAACCCTTTCCACCTATTACTTTAAACATGCCTCCCCTCTGTTGGTTATAAATCCCTCTGTAAATGAAATAAAAAATGCCTTCCCATTCACCCTATCTCTGCACCTCATAATGTTATGCACCTCTACAAAATCCCTCGTCAACCATTGCTGTTCCAAGGGAAACATCCCAACATATCCAACTTTTCCTCATATATCAGGCCTTCCAGTGGAAGGATCCTGATAAAATCCTTCTGCAACCTCTCCAGTGAAATCACAACTTTCCTATAAAGTGGTAACCAGAAAGGCATGCAGTACCAGCATAACCCCCTTGCTCTTGTAGTCTTTGCATTAGTTAATGAAGGTAGGTATTCAATTTGCCTTCTTAACTACCTCAGCCACCCGTCTTGCTACCTTTAGGGATCTGTGGTTCTGAATACCAGGGTCCCTCTGATCTTCAACACTTTCCAGGGTCTTCAAATTGATTGACCCAGCATAAGTTACCAGCCCCAAAAAATAAGGTAGATTAACAAGTGCTCAGGATTTAGAGGACCTCTCTATATGAAAGCATAGTCTCTCGCCTCCATAAAAACTGTGTTAGCTAACTTGATAACAGGTGGTTATAGAGTCATAGAGATATATAGCATGGAAACAGACCCATCGGTCCAATTTTGTCCATGCCGACAAGATATCCTATATAAATCTTGTCCCATTTGCCGGCATTTGGCCTATATGCCTCTAAACCTTTCCTATTCATATCCCATCTAGATGCCTTTTAAACATTATAATTGTATCAGCCTCCATCACTTCCTCTGGCAGCTCATTCCATACACGCACCATCCTCTGCATGAAAAAATTGCCCTATAGGTTCCTTTTATGTCTTTTCCCCTTTCACCTTTAAAGCAATGCCCTTTAGTTTTGGACTCCCCCAACTCAGGGAAAAGACCTTGCCTACTTACCCTATCCATGCCCCTCATGATTTTATAAACTTCTATAAGGTCACCCCTCAGCCTCTGACGCTCCAGGGAAAATAGCCCCAGCTTATTCAGCCTCTCCCCATAGCTCAAACCCTCCAACCCTGGCAACATCCTCGTAAATATTTTCTGAACCCTTTCTAGTTTCGCAACATCCTTCCTACAGAAGGGAGACCAGAATTACACACGATTCTCCACTTCAATTTGGGAATTGTTTTGGCTTCCTTCTACCTCAATCTCACGAGCCCTTTCACCCTCCACCACCCTATTACCTGACATACCTATACTTGCTGTCCCTCCATCCGGTGATGATATTACTTCGACATGTTTATGTGATAAATCTCATTCTTTTTCTGGTAAACCGGGGTGTCAATTGCATTTTCCCAATCCTTTTCTAATCTCCAGTATGAATAAATGAGCTGCGTTTTCAGCAGTTCGCTTTGTAAAGGCAACAATACGAACACCTTATTCCCCATTTAAAATGTTTGGGATTTGACTTGCTTCATTGTTTCATGATTGTTCGTGATGATCTGAAGTGTTCTTCACAGGCAGGCTCCTGTGAGTCACTCATTCCTGGAATACTGTTACATCATGTGACATGGAGGGTTTGCCCTTCTGATCTCAAAACTTCTCTTTGATTTGTTTCAGAGAACATCTTACATCATGGCCATAAACTAATTCTAAAGTGCTAAAGTTAGTCAACATATTCTGAGACCTCCATTTGGCAAGTAAAAGGAATTCTTGTTCTTTGTCTCAATCACAAGGAAATGCATGACTCTGTACTTTGATTATTGTTTTAAGGGTTTAATGGTATGTATCTGAAGCTCCTTGTGTCTGTGAGTGGTATATAGAAGACTTTAACTGTGTTATACCTAGACTATTCATAACTTCCTGAAATATTACGGATAGAAAATTAGAATACTGACCTGACTGGCTTTCTGTTGGCCATCCATATCAAGTGAAGAGCTTAGTTGATTTTTCTACCACCACATTAGCAGTAATGGTTCTTAAGGGACCATCCTCTGGGAACTGCGCATCCATGTCAATAATAGTTAGGATATACCAGTATCCCTTTCTGATTTTCAGTGTAAGTCTCACACAATCTGCAAACATCCCATTAACTATGTTCCTCAAATCTGATATGGGTTCTGAAAGTGCTGGTTTGATTGCATGTCTCGAGTTTCGCACTATCTGGCACATTTTACAAGACTGTACTACATCCTAGTGAAGACTTGACTGGTAAAAATGTAAACTTTTATGTGCTTGGGGCCTGCCATAGGAAATTCATGGGCTAGTCTTAATATTTCATGATGATATTTGGGCAATACCACCATCCACTTGTCTGTGAGGAGCTCTCCACTTCTGCATCTGAATGCCACTTTTGATAAACAGTAGCAGGGATATCTTGCTGCAATTGTACAGGGCTTTGTTGAGACCACACCTGGAGTAATAGGAATAGTTTTGTTTCCTTATTTGAGAAAGGATGGTCTGACTATGGAGGGAGTGCAATGAAGGTTCCCAGGAGTGGCTTCTGGGGTGGTGGTATGAGAAAAGACTAGGTCAGATTGAATTATATTAACTGGAGTTTAGAAGAATAAGGGAGAATCACATAGAAACCTATAAAATAGGACGAGACTAAGCTTACAATTTCCCTTGTCATCCAAGGTTCCTGAGTCTTGCCATCCTTATCCTTCATTTTCACAGGTATGTGCTGCTCCTGAAATCTAAGCAATTGGCCTTTAAAGGATTCCCACATGCCAGATGTAGATTTACCCTCATCTCAATCTACATTCTCCAGTTCCTGCTTAATATTATAGTAATTAGCCTTCCTCCAATTTAGTACTTTCAACCAAGGACTACAGGTAGTTCTACAATGCGATGGTTGTGTTGTTGCGTGACATCATGCTATAGAAAATCGCGCTATAAGAAAATTGTGTTATAGGGAAATTGCTACAGAAAATTGCTATACCTATACAGGAGAAGGTTTTCATTATCCAAGCAACGTTCACTATTCATCAATTGTGTTACAACCAATTTGTGTTAACAAAACACGTGTTATAGCAGGACTGTACTCTTATCCTTATCCATAAGTCACTTAGAGCTTAACTAATTGTGGTTACTGTTCCTGAAATGCTCTTGCACTAAAACTTCAATCACCTGGCCAGGCTCACTCCCTGATACTAGATCTAATATGGCTCCTTCCAGAGTTGGACTATGTACATATTGCTTCAAGAAACCCTCTTGGATGCACCTAACAAATTCCACCCATCCCATCCAAGCACCTGGCTCTAAGGGAGTCCCAGTCAATATACAGCAAGTTAAAATCACCCACCACAACAACTCTGTTGTGTTTGTATTTTTCTGTAATCTGTCCAAATATCTGTTCCTCTATTTCCTGCTGGCTGTTGGGAGGCCTGTAGTACAATCTCATCACAGTGATTGCACCCTTGCAATTCCTGAGCGTTACCATATGGACTTTTGATGAGGTAAATCCACAAGGGAAGTTTCAAATAACAAAATATCTGTCCATGGTACTTTGCTGACGGACATTATTTAATCATTACTCGGATATATATGATTAGGTGCTCAGTTTCCTTCATACCACTTGGATTTTCTGTGATACTGGAGAAGCTACAACCTGCACCTCTGCCAAATCATTCCTTTGAGGGAGGCCAGTTCTGTGTACAGGCAAACTATAGACAATCACTATAAGTGCTGAGCCAGACACTATGTCACAAACCTGGGGCATCTCATACAAAGGTAACTACTTTTCCCCTTGACAAGAGTTCCCTGTATCTCTGAGGTGCCTTGTTTACTCATAACAAGGTTCACACTTGGTTCTACAGCTATAGTCAGAGCTGCATCTCAGTTGGTCAGGAAATACAATTTTGCGAAATCCCTTCAATCACTCTTGCAGAGTAATAAATAAGTTTTGTCTTGAACTCAGCAAAAGTGTTCTTTTCAAAAATAGGAGAATTCAGCTGAGCAACCTTTCCTCACAGGCATCTTGTCCTTCAACTAACTCCAGATACTAAAGCTCTCTCCATTCAGTCAATGTTCTAAACAGCCCCAGTGGGAGTCTACGAGCAAAGCAAGCAGTTGTCAAGGCTAATGTCATTTCCAGGAAGCCTTGTTTAAAAAAAACTTATTGTCCGTAGTGACCTTTCAATGACTTCTCTTAAAGAAATCATTATCTCCACAAAATTTGTTATAAATGCATTTTTCCAGTCTTTTGAAGGTTAAATCCACCAAGAAATATTAAATATGAAGCATCTCTATAATAACAATATACATTTTAAATGTGTAATCTATATATACAATGTATAGTTTTTTTTGTGACACTTACTTCACATTGTAAAGCATTAACTCCCAAGGATTCAGACGTGACATTTTTAATGCCAAACTAAATGTTATTAATCCAATTGTGTGCATGAGAATTTATATCAAAATTTAGGTTAATTTAGACTTGGACAGTCATGATTTGATGTGTTATTCACTTAGATGTGCAAGCATTAATGATGCTACATTTTTTGCAAGCTAATGCAATTCAAAAGACTTGGACATCCTTGGGGTGATTTGAATGGAATATTAAGGTGCATTGTTGAGCATTACATGCTGTGAATAAGGATTATTTTTGTTCATTATTGATGAATGCTGTTCAGGGTTAATTAAATCATGTCTGTACAACTACAAGTCTAGGGCCAGGTTCCAGGCACAGCACTCTCTGTCCGATATCCTAATGGATTGGGACAAAACCTGAGTTTATTTACTTCCTCAAAACATGTAATTAGGATATTTTTAGACATGATATACACTTTACAAATTAATGTTGACTTGTTCTAATTAGTTTCTTTACTAAGTGCTCAGTCAGTCTCCCCTTAATTATGGATCCCAATAATTTTCCCACTACATATAGAAACAATATCTTGTCCATTAATCAGTTGTACAAACCTGGTAATCGTGCAAAAACTGAGCTTTAAATTGTTTCAGTAGAGCATTTGTCTGGATGGATTTCTTTGTAAAGAGTCAAAAATTCAGATGATGGTATGGATTCTCCCTCAATCTACTGGAAATCCAGGGTGGAATTTGGTGTCGGCAATGAGGATTTAGCCTACCTGCTGTAAGGTTCACAGGAGTGCAACACCTCCACTATTTAGGAATGTCTGATTAGTTAAATATCACTTAACTAGGCAGCAGTGAGCCTTCCTCAAGGTTCAAAGCATCAAAAGCCAATGGCTCTTCCCAGTAGATGGAGAGATTGCTGCCAGGACTGTACCAATTTGAGGTCCAGGTTACACATCAGTGCTGCAGGACAGCAATCACTGGGCAGGTCATGGGGGAGTGATTTTGGAGGAGTTCAGCAGTACGGGCAGGGTGATAGCTCACAGCAAGATTAGATCCTGAGTACCTCTGAAAGGGGGGACTGCCTTGGAAGCGCTTCCGCAACCCACACAGTGGTTTGCTTTCTCAGGCTTTCCACATAATGAATGCCCCACTTGTAACTGGGTGAATACCAGCGGCGAAGTTTTGAGACGGCTGAATGGGATTAATGTCCTGGTTCAGTGTCTTAATGGGTAGACAGAAATGAAGGCTATCCGTGAGCCTTGCCTATCCATGAGAATTCTCACCTGAAATGTAATTGAAGCATAGGCAAGGAGGTGATAGGGTCTACACCTGCCACCTTCCTGCTTGATTAATTGTCCACTGCCATTAAGGACATGCCACCACTAAACTTGGCAGCGGGGAGGAGAGGGCATTAAATTCTATCCTATGTATCCGTTGTTAACTCTTTATTCAACTGGCTATTGGGCATGGGGTAGGCATACTTTAAAATGTGGAGGACATGAAAAGCCCTTACAGGGACGATTGATAACGCAAAATGCTAGCTGGTCTAAATACTTATTACTTATCAAATTGCTGAGCAAAAAAGTCATACGATAAATCTGCAATACTATTACTTCAAGATTTAGAATTTCAATGGACTTCCACTCTTCACAAGATACGAAACATGTACTGCCAAAGGTAAAAAAATCTTTCACCTCTCTACACAGTCTGAAAGCCGAGAACAGTGGTTCGAAGCAGGAGCGTCATGGCCTCCAACTGCATAAAGGAAACCATCACATGTTGCTACACCCACACCTCCTCTTCTTTTGGACATTGGAGTGCACATACTCCATTTGTTGGTGTGCGGGTCATAGCACTCTATAGATTTGAGACAAGCACTCCCATCTCTCCCTCCGACAGCATACAACCTGTTGATAAAGTAAAAGATGCTCATTAATTCTTCATTATGAACGTTGTCTAGTAGGTCATATGTGGCATACAATATTTAAACCAGGACTACAGAATAATGCAACACTGAAGAGATTATTTGGCCAAGTGTGCACGTGTTGGCTCTTTGAAAGAAGCTACCCTTGCCCTTTTTGCATAGCACAGCAAACTCCTCCTGCTCAAGTATTTATCAAATTCCTTTTGAATTTCTGTTGAGTCTGCTATGACATTGCTTTCATTCAATGTATTCCAGATCAAAACAAACCAATGCATAAAAAGGTTCTTCTCATTTTCACATTGAATGTTTTATCATTACCTTAAATCTGAATCTCCTGGTAACAACTACCTGCCGGAAGAAATAATATTTCCTTTTTTTGCTCTCAAAATCCTTTACCATTTTGAACAAAATAATGAAATCCCCCCCTTCATCTTTTCTCTTCTAAAAAGCTTAATCCCGGTTTCACCCATCTCTTTGCATAACTGAAATCACTCATCCTTGAAATCATATTGTTTCAACTCCTTTCTGCTCTTCCAAAGGCTGGACCACAGGAGGTTAATTGTTGTTGAGCTCATATCTACAGTACATTATCAGTAATGCCAGATCGGCTGGGGAATTAGGGAGGTTCTAATGAAGCATTGTTTTACCATGTCTCAGTGTATGGTGTAAATGTTAAATTAAGAAATATTCATTAGTTAACACTGTTTTAGGTTTTTCTTGGAGGTGGTGGTGGTTTTGGTGCCGGTGATAAAAATGTTTATAAAGTAATGATTCTGAAAGAGTCAATATTGACGTTGCATTATATCCACCAATCTGATGATGTAAAGTATTTGGGTAGAGAATCAGGCAGTTTAGCATCATGTTCTGACGGAGACAAACATATCATTTCTAGCATTGTTTTGTAATGCCTAGCTAGTTAATGTCAATTGTACCTATTGCTATCATGCAATTAACTATACCTTGTTATGTAAGACAAGTGCCTCTTATTAAGACTCTCAGTGATTTATCCCCTTTCACTTATCATCAGACAGGCCTTAGACTCGGTTTATAATGAAGGATTACGGGTTTCTGGGGCAAATGCTTAGGGAGAAACTAAATACTCTGAACTAAAGTATATTCCTGAGAGGTAGAGGAAATGTAAAAAAGTAAAAAAAAATCATCCATGGTTTAACAAGAATGTCAAGGATGACATAGATGCAAAAACTAGGGCATATCATACTGCAAAGGTTAGTGGCACTCTGGAGGATTGGTAGAACTTTAAGAGTCAGCAAAGCATTACTAAAAACAAAGTCAAAAGCGTTAAGATGAAATACAAAAGGAAACTAGCAAAAAACAGAAGCATTAATACCAAAAGCTTCTATAATTATGTAAAAAGGAAGAGAATTGTGAAAGTAAATGTTGGCCTTTTAGGGGATGAAAATGACGAGGTTTTAGTCGGAAACTCAAAAATATCAAAGGCATCAAACCAATATTTTGTCTCTGTTTTTATTGTGGAAAAAAATTCTTCCCAAAAACTGCGGTTACGACAGAGGAACTCGGTGAACTTACTACAACTAGAGAGAAGGTATTAAGTAAACTGTTGGGATTAAAGGCAGATAAGTCCCTGTGGCCAGATGGCCTGCTTCCTAAGGTATTAACATAGGGTGCAGCAGAGATAGTGGTTGCATTAGTTATGATAATCCAAAATTCCCTGGATTCTGGAAAGGTACCAGTGGATTGGAAACACAATAATGCGACACCCTTATTCAAAAAAGGAGATAGGTAAAAAGTAGAATACTATAGACCAGTAAATCCTACCAATGTGGTGGGGAAGTTGCTGGAGTCTATGATAAAGGAGGTGATAACTGATCATTTGGAAAATCAAAGCTCAATTTACCAGTGTTGGCATGGTTTTATGAAGGGCAAGTCATGCTTGAAAAACTTGCTGGAGCTCTTTGAGGACATAACCATTAAGGGGGATAATGGGGATCCAGCAGATGTGGTATATCAAGGCCTCAAGAAGGCATTTGACAAAGTGCCACACAAAAGACTAATCAGAAGGTTAGAGCCCAGAGGGGTTAAAGGTAGGGTATTGGCTTGGATAGAGGATTGGCTGACTAACAGAATACAGAGGACCGGTCCAAATAGGTCCTTCTCTTGATGGCTAACTGTAACTAATGGGGCACTGCACGGCTCAGTTCTCAGACCTCAACTATTTACAACCTGTATAAATGATCTGCAAATAGGGACACAGCGTAACATAGTAAAATTTGTGAATGATACTAAAAATAGATGGAAAGCAGGCTGAGCTGAGGAGATAAAGGGTTTACAGATAGATATTGATAGACTTTGTCCATTTTGGCTGGAAAGGAACAAAAGGGCAAATTATTATTTAAATGGGAAGTAGATTCAATGTTCATCAGTGCAGAGGGATCTGGAGGTAATTGTGCTGGAGTTACTGAAAGTGGGTATGCAGCCTACTGGTATTATTGCTGGACTGTTAATCCAGGGACTGAGATAATGTTCTGGGGACCTGGGTTCGAATCCCAATGCAGCAGGTGGTAGAATTTGAATTCAATAAAATATCTGGAATTAAGAATCTAATGATGACCATGAATCCATTGTCGATTGTTGGAAAAACCCATCTGGTTCACAAATGTCCTTTAGGGAAGGAAATTGCTATCCTTACTTGTCTGGCCTACATGTGATTCCAGACCCACAGCAATGGAGTGGACAGCCAGAATCTTTTTCCTAGGGTGGAGGTAGCTATTACGAGGGGGCATAGTTTTAAAGTGAGTGGAGGTAGATATAGAGGAGACGTCAGAGGTAGGTTCTTTGCTCAGAGAGTGGTAGGGGCGTGGAATGCATTGCCGGAGAGGGTAGTGGAGTCGGCCTCATTAGGGGCATTTAAGCAGCTATTAGATAGGCATATGGATGATAGTATAAGGTAGGGGTGGAGTTTAGATAGACCTTAGGTTTAGGGTAAAAGTTTGGCACAACATCGTGGGCCGAAGGGCCTGTACTGTGCTGTACTGTTCTACGTTCTATATTCTATGTTCTAATGTGGTTTACTCTGAACTGCTCTCTGGGCGATTAAGGACGGCAATAAACGCTGCCTAGCCAGCGACGCCCTCATCCGGTCAATGAATAATAAAAAGCATATAACAAGAAAGTCAAATGGAATCCTACTATTTATTGCAAAAGGACTGAATTACAAAAGTAAACAAGTGCTGTTACAACCATATAAGTCATTGGTGAGGCTGCACCTGGAGTTTTGGTCTCCTTACTTGAGGACGGATGTGCTGGCATTGGAGGCAGTTCACAGGAGGTTCACCAGGTTGATTCCAGGGATGAAAGGGCTGTCATATGAGGTGTGGTTGAATAGCCTGGGCTTGTACTCGCTGAAGTTCAAAAAAATGAACGGGGTTCTGACTGAAGTATATAAAGTTCTAAAGGGGATTGATCAGGTGGATGTTGAACAGATATTCCCCCATGTAGGACAGTCTCGAACAAAAGGTCATAGATATAGACTGAGAGGAGATAGGTTCAAAAGCGAGATGAGGAGATAGTGCTTCTCTGAGAGTGTTGTGAATCTGTAGAACTCACTGCCTCAGAGTGCAGTAGTGGAAGAATTAATCAACAGATGCAAGTAAGAAATAGGTATGTTTTTGATGAAAAGGGCTATGGGGAGCAGGCAGGAAAGTAAAGTTGAGACCAGGATGAGATCAGCCATGATCACGTTAACTAACGGAGGGGTCTCGAAGGACTGAACTACCTATTCCTGCTCCTAATTTGTATGTTCCTAAAAAACATATCCTTACCACTGAGTGGCATTGTGCCACTTTAGAACTCCATTGGACAAATCACAGACATTTAATATCACTGAAGTTCTCAACTAAATTGCAGGTTTTCCAGGCAATCACGAGGGAATCTGTTTCTGAAGTTGAAGACAGTTGAAAAGGAGGCAAAAAGGTGTTTTGCAGCAAATCAACAATCTGTATCACAACACGATTCTCTAGATACAATGGGACACTGGCTCCACAAAAGATGGCAGCACTATCAAGCAACAAAGTGATATTCACACATTCAGAATGATGCACGAGAAGAAAATGAAGATACTGCAGTCAAAGTGTGTGTTGACGCTACACCGCATCAAAAGTGATGAAAAATGCAGTAGTGGTCTATGTTGGCCACAGAGAGGATAGCTGAAGCATATTGAAATTAGATGCCAAGACATATGGGCCAAGTGCTGAAAAATGGGATTAGAATAGATAGGTGGTTGTTTTTGATTGACACAACATGAAGGGGCATTTATTTTCTGTGCTGCAGCTCTCTATGACTCCAGATGCCTTTCCTATTGCCACTGTAGCTGTTGAAGAGGGACTGACAGATGCTAATATTGAATTTTCAATCAAACCTTAGGTTCAGAATTATACAGGCAAGCTTCCTATAAATCTCAGTTCTGATGCAAGTGCCCCAGAGCATCTAATTTCTCAAAACTTCAAATTTATTGTATGGTTGATGATGGTGAAGTCTTACTTTCTGTTGGAATCGTGAGATGTTATTATTTGGTGAGGAGCAGCCTCAAACAGTGTGTGAAAGCAGCACCACTAATTACTAATAAAGAAATTCTCACCCTAAAAATGGTAGGGGAATCATCATTTCTTCATCTTCAGAATAATCTTTATTCTTCTTTTCAGTTACTCAATTCATAACTGGATATGGTTTTGAAAAGTTATATCATCATTGCAACATCAATGGATGGTATGCTGGTAAAGTTCTTCATGGGAGCTGAAAGTGCTTCATTTTTCAAGCTATTGCATTAACTTTTACACAGTGTGCGAAGAAGAAGGAGGGAAAGACAGAAAAAGAATTGAATGAAAATTTCACTTCATATCTTTCACTTCATGGGGCTTGATAGTTCATACCCTGAATATTTTGAACCAGTTCTGCTTTGATCAGACTTCACTACTCTAGCTTCCAAGCTATCATCAACATTACAGC